AGTGGCCATGAATGGGAGAAAGGGGAGACGTTCTGCTCCCATAAGGATTTACAGACTCGGAACTGACTCCACGGCACACAACAACAATAGTGGCCATGAAAAGATGGATTGGCAAAGTGGCAGCATCAATGGGCTCAAGTGTGTTAACAATTGTGAAGTTGGCCCAGGACTGTGTTTCATTCTTTTGTGCATAGGGTCGCTATGAGTCGGTACCAACTCGTTGGCACCTAACAACATGAAAAATAAGTACTAAGAGAAATGAAGAGGATGATGCATTTGTAGATGAAAGATATATTACAATGAGTTATGAACATGTTTGGCATTCTGCCCACTTGTTTAAATAAGTTCCTCCCCCCCCCAAGATTAATCTGAAACATAAATTATTTAACCCTGGCTTTTCACACTTTGTAAGAAATATCAAACTTTCTTAACAGCTATCATTTTGTAAAAAACTCAATTTCAGTTGATTTAAGAAAAATGAACAAGAGTGACTTTCAGGATAGAGAGTTATTAAAACATATTTCTTCTGTCAATAGAATTGGAAAAATACTGTCAGTGAGTTCTTGCTTATAAATGTTTCTTTTTACTTATCCATGCAGATCTGAAAAGGAAAGCCACTTCTCTTTCAGCAATCACGAGGTGCATGACAACAGAATCATTGATGCACTGGGAAGAGGGTTGGGTTCCAAATCTCCCCAAGTGATCTAGAAGAGGCAGAGGCAGCCAGTGTTCTTCCTCAGTTTTTCTGATCAGGGTCTCTGTGGTTCTGAGTTTTTGTTTTTGTTTTTCCGTTCTCTCTCTGTCCTGTCACTCTGAAACATTGTTTCTTTGGATTCTAAGACAAACTGGGATGCCCTGTATTTATATAGTAATAGAAATGCTAAGTTTCTGGGGCTATTGCCATTGGAAAGAGTTTATGGGGGCTTAAGAATTAAGTCAGTTGTCATGTTTTCTATTGGAATTCCCACTTGGTCTAATATAGCATATTGAAGTAATACGTTTTTACCTAGCAGGTCTGTGTTGTGCAAAATATAAAATGATTTTTTTCTTTTTTAATAAGAAAGCAGTGAGGTCCCTGGGACTTCATTTCATTTCTTAATTTTTCTACTACTTCACTCATAATTTCTCCGTGGGAATACCTACATCTCAATGAATAATTGAGTTTCTTTGGGGTTGTTGTTAGTTTCTGTCAAGCTGAGTTGATTCTGACTCATGGTGACCGTACATGTTATAGAGTAGAACTCCATAAGGTTTTAAGGCTGTGACCTCTCAGAGCTGATTGCCAGGCTTGTCTCCTGAGGTGTACTGGGTGGATTCAAACAGCCAGCCTTTCTGCTAATAGTGGAGCACTTAATGGCACTTCATAGAGACCTTTTTTGGGTAAGGGAACTAAATATTTTCTCTGGTGCTCTCATTGTACTACTTCTGAGACCATATTTAGCAGGTGAAAACATAATTAAATTTGCTTTTAGTCAAATATTGTGGTTTTTTTAACCTTGTGGAGTGTGCATTGAAATTTATAAAATATTTTCACATGTAAAATTGATCGAATTCTATAGAAGGTAGATTCTTTTAGAAGTAGACTTTACTCTGCATATGGGTATGAATGTGAGTGATGTGCTTAATGATTACAAGGTGCTTTGGGCTGGATTACTACAAGATTAGTTTAAAACTATCCACACACTTTTTTCTATATTTATCATGTAGTGCTTTTTCCCTTTACAGGTAAATTTTTTTGGTGCTTGGGGGAGATTTTGAGGATATGGGTTTAATGTCTTGTAAAGACAGTTTATTATTGTTGTTGTTGCTAAGTGCCATCAAGTCTATTCCTACTCATCGTGACCCAGAATAGGATTTACAAGAAGCAACTGGTTTGCAACCCTGCAGTTTGCAGTCCAGTGCTGATCTTACAATGCCATACCAGGACTCCAGAGACAGTTTATGGTTGTTGTTAAGTGCTGTAGAGTCAGTTCTGGCTCATAGCCACCCTGTATAGGGTTTCCGAGGAGAGGCTGGTGAGTTTGAACATTAGTAAGTATTGTGTAAGGCTTACATCTTTTTTGTTGTTGTTATGTGCCGTTGAGTCGTTTCTGACTCATAGCGACCCTGTACAGGGTTTCCGAGGCTGTAAATCTTTACGGGAGCAGAAAGCCTCATCTTTCTCCTGTGGAACAGCTAGTAGTTTCGAACTGCTGACCTTGTGGTTCACAGCCCGATTCATAACCACTACGCTACCAGGACTCCTTTTTTGTGTACACTGAAAATTCCACAGGAGGAAGTTTTCCCTTAAGGAGTCCTAAGACTTCCCAATGTTGGTATTAGGAATCAACCTGAAATTTCCCCTACTTTTTTCCTAAGGTACAGAAAAAAAGACATAGTTTCTTGAAATGCTCATTAGTAGTGCTTTTTTTGCCAGCTAAATGTGAAATTTTTTAAAGTGTTGAAGAGCAGAGATGTCACCTTGAGGACTAAGGTGCATCTGACCCCAGCCATGGTATTTTCAATAACCTCATATGCATACGAAAGCTGGACAGTGAATAAGGAAGACTGCAGAAGAATTGATGCTTTTGAGTTGTGTTGGAAGAGAATATTGAAAGTGCCATGGGCTTCCAAAAGAACCAACAGATCTGTGTTGGAAGAAGTGTAGCCAGAGTGCTCCTTAGAGGCCAAGATGGCCAAACTTCATCTCTCATACATTGGACAGGAGGGACCAGTTGCTGGAGAAGGCTATCATTCATGTTTGGTAGGGTGGAGGGTCAGAGAAAAAAGAGAGAGAGATCCCCAGTGAGATGGACTGGCAAAGTGGCAGCATCAATGGACTGAAGCATGGCAACAATAGTGAGGTTGGCCCAGAATTGGGCAGTGTTTCATTCTGCTGTGCATAAGGTTGCTCTGAGTCAGTACCGACTCAATGGCACTTAACAACAACAACAACAAAAATGTGAAATTATTTTTTTCTTGCATGTAATAACTCTATCTTCATTAATGGAAATTGAACCCTAATGTAATTAGGGTTTACAGAAAAACATCCCCTTACCATTGCTGCTTTTTCCAAACTGACACTAAAACATCTGTGCATGTTCTCAAGTAGAGACTTTGACTAATTTATAGCTGCTGCCCTTGAACCTCTTTTCTTACACTATTTTGTTTTCTAGGTGCGCCACAGAGCTTCTGGTCAGGTGATGGCGCTGAAGATGAACACATTGAGCAGTAACCGGGCAAACATGCTGAAGGAAGTGCAGCTCATGAATAGACTTTCCCATCCCAACATTCTTAGGTAATGGCTTTTTCCTTCTTTTGGGGACCAGGGAGAAAGCTGAAGCATTGTTGGAGGTTTGTTAGAATAATGTTGAGATCTAAAAAGAGGGACTCAGGTTATATCATGCTGCATCTATCTTGCTGGGGTTTAGCTGTGCACTAGATCTTTTTCTACTTTTTGAGACATAATTTCCTGATGATTAACTGCACTGAATAAAGCAACTTGTTTTGTTGCTCTAATTACTTCTGTTTGTCATAGCTCATTAGAATAGTTGTTTCCTATTACTAAATTTGTAATTTATCAAAGAGGAAAGACTTTGATATTTATATGGTTATTTAAATTTCTTAATTGCTTTGTGGGGAATCATAATTAAATCAGTGAAATAAAGACAAAATTGTGCCCTCAATCTGTCTATCCCTAACATTTTAGCACTCATAAGGAGAAGACACACTGCATTTTAAAAGGAGAATTGTTTTACATATACTAAAATTATATAATCATCACTTTCTAGTAATCAATATCTGAATTTTTCTTATTTTAGTGATTTCAGTATATTTCCAAATAAGATAATTCAGTTCAGTAGATTTTTAAGGTAGTGCTTATGTGTTAACTGCTACTTAATCAGTTCCAAGTCATAGCCATCCTGTATAGGGTTTCCAAGGAGTGGCTGGCGGATTTGAACTGCTGACCTTATAGTTAACAGTCCAATGCTTATCCTACAACATCATACCAGGATTCCATTTGAAAGATAGTGTTTTGCTTTGGTTTTTTTTTAAATGTTTTATTGTGAATTATGTGATAGTTTACATGGGAGAACATTAGTTTTACATTCATCCTATTGTATATCATTTCATTGCTATGGTTACAATCCCTTCCATGCATCATCAACCAACCAAAGGGTATGCACTACAAGCCTGCCCTCTGGTCGTCAGCACACAGCCTCTCTCCCTCTCTGGGTCTAAAGTCCCCAGCTGCTTCATCTCTCCACGTCATCGTCTCTGCCTCCATGCATGGCATCACTGCTTCTCTGAGTAGGGTCCCGCTTTCCGCTCTTCTCCCTTGATGGTCCCAGGGACTTCCGCTCCTAGACTGAAAAGTTAATCACTCCCCTCCTTTTGCTACAAAACATCTACCTTTACATTACCAACCCTCACAAGCAGTCCTGATAACAATTATTCACAATTGTATTACAAGAGACCCATCAGTGGAGATTCTACCTTCCTTCATGCCCCCTGGAACTAGGTTCCCTCTTGAAAGCTTGTAAGCCAGTCACTTCTTCCTTTTGTAGCCCCCCCATTTTGGGTAGCCAATGTCCAAGTTGCCTATCCCTGTCTACTCTGTGTATGGAGGGGGTGGGCATGATCCTTGCTTAAGGATTTGTTCCCTCTTTTGAGCTACTGCATCCATAGGTGTAGGTCAAGTTCATCAAATTGTATCAGATTACTCTTTTTTTCCTCTTCTTTCTTCTTCTGGTTGAGCTCTGATCGTCCAGTCATTGAAGCCAGGTCAAGTGGGTATTATCTGCAAGTGTGGGTGTTCTTGTGCATATACCCTCTCTTCCTATCAGCTGGACGCTTCACTCTCCACTCTAGTCCTCTGTGGCTATGTCACTGACTCTGGAAAAACAGCAATGGAGCTGCAAGCTAAGCCCTACAATGTTCAATAGACTTCTGTGAACCTGGCTGGAGACCTGGTTGGCCAGCAGTGTGGCAAGACCTGGGGACTCTTGGGCCCAGAGTCAGTGACATAGCCTGGTCACCAATCAGAGCATGTATTCCCATTGAGTCTTAGTCTTGGAAGGGGGTTTACACTGATGGGAGAAAGATAGTGTTATTAAAATATTTTTTTTATTGTTGAGAATATATACCACAAAACAGACACCAGTTCAACAGTTCCTACATTCACCAACATAGCTTCCATTCTTCAAATTATGCACCCATTCTCACTGTCCTTTCTCAGTTGTTCTCCCCAACCCCACTGACAGAGATTCTTTTTTAGTCTTTGCATTTGTGTTGTCAGTTTGAATCTGTATTGTTGTCATTGTTGTTTCGTGCCATAAAGTTGGTTCCAACATACAGTGACCCTATATAGGATTTCCAAGGAGTAGTTGGTGGGTTTGGACCACCAACCTTATGGTTAGCAGTCCAGTGCTTATCCTATAGCACGAAACCAGGACTCCTTAAAAGAGTTTAATGTTTAAGGCAGACATACTTGACTCATTAAGCTAAACTGTTGCTTAGTTTTAAGAAGATAATTGGATATTTTTGGCTTAAGGTTTAAACCCTGTCTTCAGATGATATTTTCTGGGGTTGATAGGGTTTTAGAAGATAGGAAGGTATCCAGAAAGGAATAAAATAGTATAAGTAAAGCTGTTGTTATGTGTCGTGGAGTCGGTTCTGACTCATAGTGACCCTGTACAGGGTTTCTGAAGCTGTAAATCTTTATGGGAACAGAGAACCTTATCTTTCTCCCACAGAACAGCTGGTAGTTTTGAACTGCTGACTTTGAGGTTCACAGCCAGATTTGTAACCACTACGCTACCAGAGCTCTTTATAAGTAAAGTACAGGGGTGAAAATGTAAAGCTTTCTCAGGAGTCGCTAAGGAAAGACCTATTTGGCTAGTCATAGTAGAGAATCATCATTTACTGAAGGTTTGTGGGCTGGGTACTCTACTTATTTAAAGATTTAATTTTCCAGTAACTTTCTAGTGAAGAAATTGAGATCTAAAGAATATGTGTTGTCCTGGGCTCTTTCTCCCATATTGAATTTTCTGAAAATTTTCTGAAAATTCAATAGGGTAGTTTTGGTAGCTAAAGCTAGAAAAGTAAAATGGGGCCAAGGTGTGCAAAAATGTTTTGCATAAAGCTTAGTAGATTATGCCTTATGTACTAGGATCTGAGTAAGACATGACAGAGGGTAAATGATGGCAAGATGCAGGTGTTTTCATGATAGGTAGGCTGCGAGGCAAAAGATCAGTTAGGAGGCCTCTCCACCATGTTGGAGGGTGAGGTGGGTAAGACTTGATATGCTATTTTTAATTTGATCATGTTTCAACTTAATAAATCATATGAGAGAGCATCAAAAAATTTGTGGGAAAGCGGAATTTAAAAAATCACGAAACTTTTCCATGAACTTTTGAAGCACCCCTTATATATTTATTTTATTTTTTATTATTACACAATTGATAGATGATCACTGTGGGACATATAGAAAGGAGAGTGTGGTGACTTGAATTTACTTGATGACTTTTTTATCCAAAGTCTTCTTAATTCCCACCAAGTGATTGGGTGGGACCATGCAAATAAGGCATATAAGACTCTAAGATTGAGATTGGTTAGTTTTGCCCGTCAGTTAGGTTTAAATAGAGCCTTCTCGGAAGCTGAGATGGAAAATTCTAGGACCACCAAGAAAGAAGAGCATGAGTGGAGCATGAGATCTCTACCTAGAGAAACGGCAACATGGGAAGACAGAGCAGCTCTAGGCCCACAGACTGAATACAGGCTGGGAGACTGTTCCCTTTGAGCATTCGCAGACTGGTAAAAGAGCTTTGTAACACTTGCTGGAGTAGGGCAGAGGCCAAGGAGCTGCATGACTGAGAAGCTGAAGACAAGAGTGAGGCATGCCTGCAGTATGGCAGACAAGAAAGAGGCTGACTGGAGAACTGCTGTGTCCTGAGTTTGTTTTGATCCTGAGTTGTACTCTATTCATGTCCCTAATAAATCCCATAATTGTGAGTATTGTTATGAGTTCTGTGCGGCCATTGCAATGGATTATGGAACCCAGGTATGAAGCAGAGAGTGCTGTGGGAGGGATGGTTGGTGTCAGAATCAGGTAGAGCAGGTTGTATGGTGGAAGCATGTCTGCCTCTGCTTGATTGGAATTGGCCTTGGGCTGATTTTGAGTTTGATTATCTTATCCCCATGTGAAGCCAGGGGAAATCAGACATGGCTTCCACTTGTATTTTACAGAGAGTTAGCAAAAGCAAGAAAATAAAAATTCCCCTTAATTTTAGCACTTGGAGATAAAATTAGTATTAACATTTTGAGATATTTCCTGCCAATCATTTTTTCTCTCAACAATTAATATCCTCATCATGAACTGGATTAACAAATGCATAGGGGAAATTACCGTTTATTCCATTACAGCAAAATGTTCAATAAAAGTGACATAATAATAATGGTTAAAAACGAAGCCATTTCAAGTATATTCAAGTATATGTCTGGCTTCAAATTCTGGATCATAGGAAAGTTACTTAACCACTCTGAGCCTTAGTTTTCCCATTTGTTAAGTGTCTACTACTATTATTAATTAATTGGTCGACTCATAGTGACCCTGTGCAGGGTTTCTGAGGCAGTAAATTCTTAACGGGAGCAGAAAGCTTCATCTTTCTCCTGCAGAACAGCTGGTAGTTTCGAACTGCTGACCTTAAGGTTCGCAGCCCGATTCGTAACCTCTACACTACCAGAGCTCCAATTCTGACGTGGTGTCTGGATTGGAGGAAGACTCATTAACAACCTGAGATACGCAGATGATACAACCTTGCTTGCTGAAAGTGAAGAGGGCTTGAAACATTTACTGTTGAAGATCAAAGAACACAGCCTTCGGTATGGGTTGCATCTCAATGTCAGAAAAACAAAAATCCTCACCACTGGACCAATAAACAATATTCTTATCAACGGAGAAAAGATTGAAGTTGTCAAGGACTTCATTCTTCTTGGATCAACTATCAACACT